AGTTTCGGAATATCGCAGATATCCTTTGCATCTTGGATCGCATCAGCAGCCATCGCGACAGACATACCGCGACCGACAAACCGGGTTACCAACAGAAATTGTCTCCCCTGTTTGATTTCGATAAGATAATTACCATCATTCTTCAACTTAAACAGCGACAGTGCATTGCACCGCGTTTGCCCTGCCAATTCGTCTTCATGCCAAAGCATATCCCCGATAACCACGTTAACAATCGAATTTCTGACGACGAAAGTCATTGCCTCAGACCTGTTATCAAGGAAATGGCAAATGGTTTCCGCGTGCTTCACTGAAACTTCGAAGTACTTGGATTTCTCTTCAGGTGACAGATTTTGATACTCCTCCCATCTACTCTTATGATTCAGACGATGGTGCTGCGTATAATTGTCAGTTCTGAAAGGCGGGTCATAAAATGACCACGATGTTGACGATTTCCTGGCAGCATCTTCACGACCAAAGCATATACAGAACTGGCAGCGAACGGCGACGACCTGAGACGACTGCGGGTCACGAGCGGTGATCGAGAGACCGTATTGCAATATATGTTTCGTCTGAAACGGAGTCTTCCGGGCACCAGCTTTACAAGGGCGCTTTTCTGCGGGCTCAGACATTTTGATGTATGCACAGAAATACAGCAGATCAGCACGGAAATGACTACCCAGTATGGCGAAACTGCGTGACGGAGATAAGATTAATTGATTTTTTCTTTTTGAAAAACGGAACATTTTAAAAAGCAAATACGGAATATACGGATTCTATTTATAGATTGCCGTATCTAGAGAGTCCTGACTATATGGGATTTAGGAGGACACTTCAATCCTTTCATCGCTACGACCGTGTGCGGTCCGATGTGACGGAATCGCAGTTAGTTTAGGCCGCAGACACCAGATGTATAGATAGATCTATTGCATCGAAAACATTTTTTGCCACACATCATATTCGCGTGTGTTTCGTCGACCTCTGGGTCGGTGCGTTGCTTTTGTTTAACTTGTCTCTCAGCCATATTGTTGCACAATCAACCTAGGACAATTATTCTCATTACAATAAATCTCCGATCAGAAAGTGTAGCTGGGCTGATGCAGCAAGTCAAATTTGTTCGACAGCTCCTCCCAATTAGACTGGATTCACTTCGCAGAGATATTAAATTACCCGATATCTGTGCTACTATTCAACAGGGCTGCATCAATAAACATGATCCACACAGTGTATCATCCACGCTTGGGGACACACAGCCGAGGTATGATCCGCACGAGAGTTTGATTCACATGAACTATGCATTGAACGTAACAAATCGACGTCTGCGTGCAGTGTGGAGTCATCAAAGCTTGTCGGCAATCTCGAAGATGAATTCAAATTATTTTGCTGAGGTCACAAAGCGGATGCAAACAGAGATGTGTTCTTAATGTATTTATGGATTCGTATTGCAATCTTACTCTGATAATCCTATAAGCGTGGGGGTTAATTGTTGAATACGAAGTAGACTCTGAATCGAAGCTATCTTCAACTCTTAAACAATAATCTGATTTTCACCGGTTGAAGGGTCTAAAGCTAACATATCGAATTGTAAAACGCTCGCTAGGCAGCCTACATTCTTGTATAACCATATGATGTAAATGAGCTTTGTCGAGCTCAAACCCTGGAAGGAGCAAGTGACATCCGTTACCCGGAGGTTTTGCTTGGTTGAAAGGCAGGTTTTAGTTTCATGTAGAGAAGCTCGCAGCTTGGTAAGGTCGCAAAGATCACAGGAAGCATTAGAAAAAATAGATTGGCTATTCTTCACCGTACAGAGCCTGATATTCACCCCAGCAAGATTGCTCTGGCGTTGGTGATGCATTTGAAATCGCGCATCACCTACCCTCGCTCCCGAAAAAGCGGCAGGCTCGTATATAGCAGCGCGCTTCCGGCTACCGAGTGGAGCCCAGCCTTGTTTCGAAAAAGAAGATTGTTCTCTAAGTATATGTTACTAGTAACCAGCGTGTCTAGCTAGCACAGATGGATCTTTGACTTCTAGAGTCCGCGTCAATAAGCGCACAAGTGATAATTACATTGGCTGTCACAACGGTGTCGAACAGAGAGTCCGTCAAGCACTTAATATTCGTATCTCAAATAAACAAATCGGTAGATTGATTGAATTCTAATACTGACATACAATGATATTTCATATGTTTGTCATATTATCGATAATAATATGACCCTATATGACGCATCGCGCTAAAAAGGAGAATGTGGTAGCCGTCGACGTGTCTCCTTCTCAATGTGCGATTGCTCCCAATTAGACTACACAGTCAGCATGTGATTCTACGATTTATGGAGTATCCCTAGGTCCGAGGGACAACATTTTAATGTACCATGAAAGAAAATGCACTCCGTTCTATATTCCCACTAAAACAAGGACTCCAATGAGATAAGACAATATTTTCATACTGACCGGGGTAGAACAGTGTGTACCATAATAGTGTTCGTTCCGCGTCGCGAATAACTTGGTCGAATAATGCACTAGGCAGCATGTAAGACAATTTTTTAAAAGCTGCCAGGAATGTCGTGGGATACGTGACACACAGAACATATTCGCTATTTAATTGTACATTTTCTGGCGCTAAAACAGGCTATAAACTTTTTATAAACTGTTTACAATGGTCCACGCTACATTTTGCATATCAACATCTGTGACATCTGATCAATGAACCGTATCGCGACGTGTGAGCTTGGTATCATACTACGGCTCCGAGCCCGGTACCTTTTACAGTTTTCCAAGTCCAGAGTCTCATACTGGAAGCGACTTAATACTCCATCAGACCCTCCCCTATCAAGCCGAAAAAATTTTGCTGGTGTCATTTACCGCTCCCATTAAGGTCCCTCATCGTAAGTTGTGCGATCGACAGATGAAATCTATATGCTTGATTCATGATTAAAGTTGCTTGTTGGTGCCTGCGCCGTTGTTATGACAGCCTTATCTGGCAAGATAGGCGAGATATCTCTCTGGAGAGAAGTCGGAGGAATTTGTCGACATCCGCCTCCCATTTTTTGCATCTCCTCTCTATACGGCTTGTAAAGGCTTGACTAGAACGTCACTTCATTGTTGACTTTGCTTAAATACAAAATACTTTGTCGGTGACGAGAAGGTCCTCGCCCTTGCCTTTGATTTGTGCTGGATTAGCCATGATCATGTCCTATGATCTCGCCGGTACATTTTCGTTGGGTATGTAACTGTGGCTTATGCACGCATTATATCTTTTTCAGAATTAAAGCATCTCTAAGAAATACTATGGTCATTCACCATGATAAAGTATCATGATAAGTGTTAGTACAGACATGAATAGTAGTACTTCGAAAGGGAGAGGACTGTGAAACACATGGGTTGCTACCCCCACGCTATGCATTGTATTAGGGGCGCTTTGCGTACCCGACCTTCGTGCACCATTTTTCGCGGACTGAAAGAGCAAACAGTTGCACTATGTGAGGTGCGTGACAAACATTTTGCATTTGATTGCACTCGTCGCTAACTTGACAACTAGAAACAAATTCGATTGTTTTTTTGCCGTGAGGGTGAACATGATCTGTCTACGCATAGTACTCTGGTACAATAAGATATGCTTAGCGAGCTTTTTTGTCGTTGGTCCTGGGGGTTGGCGGATCAGGGTCCAAAATTATTTGCTCCGTTCATCAGCGACAACAATACACTGGTGTACCTCCTTGGACAATCTAACCTAATCTCATTGGAAGCACGACTATTCTTACCGAAATCTATCCAGCAAAATTATTCGTGGAGCACTAACGCCTTTAGGTCCAAGGTTGGGGATTATTTATTTTACAAACAATGATCATGGAATAAAATCTTCGGAGATGTCTAGAGAAGAGAAGAGAAGAGAAGAGAAGAGAAGAGAAGAGAAGAGAAGAGAAGAGAAGAGAAGATACAGAGAAGCGAGCTATCTCGCACAAACGATCCTTAGACTAGCCAATCGCGCTCGAATCGGCACTAACGCGTAGTACATTTGTGCAGGGTAAATTTTTGTGAGGAAAGCGGCTCACACATTGACCTTTCCCATCAAATCATCCTCTTTGTAAGAACCGTTTGTGTCATAAATGTCTGGAAACAACGTATCGTTCGCATGGTATAGTGAAGGCGTGTGAGGTGAAGGCGCTGTTTGCTCACCAGAGATGATAGAATACAGCCAGGCTGAGGAGAAGATATTTATTCCTTAGCTACTGGGCAAATGCCGTGGCACACACTAATACCGATTTTTGGGACATCAAGCCTTGACGTCTTCCAATATACCATAGGTTTCAAAATCGCAAGGCAGCCACCCGAAATAGGACTGATTTTTTTGTTCCTCGTGGAGGGAGAGATCAATTGATCTAAACCTTCAAAAGAGCGTCCCTGTTTAAGAAAGCTGGAATTCACAGTCCGATGTTATCTGCTGGTTACACACGGATTAAGCTTTCAAAAATCGTGATTGTATAATATTTATGTTGCGGGATTACGTACGACGTGCGACTATCGGAATAGTAGACAGTACGCAGAACTAATCCTGTCACGGGGACACTTGCCGAATGGGTTGAAAGATACCTTCAGCTTCTAGATACATTTCGAGAATTTTGACAGCGTAGAGCGTTAAATTGGTTCTATCAATTAATATGAAATACGAAATCACGCCTGGCTGAAACGTCATAGCTTTGGAGGGACATGAACCCATCGCTGCCAGAAAAATATAAATATTTTGGCGAGGGTAGAAAGGTATTACAGCTTTGGTACAGGACAATATATTGTTCGAATAGTAAGCAACGATGTTTGATCAGAGCCTTGGCAATAGATCGGTATCAAAAGCGGCTGTGAGCCACTTTTCAATGAGACGGATCGAGAGAGCATACTTCGCGGTCTTTGAAGTCAACCCTTGTTAAGACAGGTACCTAAAGCTCTGAGCTAGGGCCCCCAGAAGTATTTTTAGCGGGATTATAATAAAGCCGTTGTAAATTGTGCTTAGATATTGCTGAGACGACTATGTACCACGGTGTTTGAAGCAAACAAAATAATTGTAAGTCTTGAGATTCCAACCAAACGTTCACCTCATTGAGAATTGTCATCCTTATCGTGGTGCTACAGCAGTGCCGAGCCAACAACATCGTGGGCGTTTTACCTACGGATTGGGGAGTACGTCGAGAAAGAGAACTGGGCGCTGGTTATTAATTTTGCGACACACGTCGTATCAAGGAATCCGTGTCATGCTATAGACTTTTCTATTGTGCAAAGCACGAAGTAGATACAGCACAAAAGATAAAATTTACATCGACTTTTTGCGGTAAAAAGATCAGCGGCAAGTGGCGAATTGTGCATCCTTACAGAAAGCTTGATGTAGTCATCATTTTGGCGCAAGCGTCGATCCTTAACCAGAGATGTCACGGTGCCGCATGGTCGGCTGCATCTTGAGAAGATCTCTATAGATATGACAAGCCCTCGTGCAATTCAGCAAATACCACATCGGTGCGGCGGATATTTTGACAGGATGCCGTCGATTCCCCCATAGATCTATATTTTTTCGATTTATTTTATTCGTCCATTCGTTTGGCGTACCAAGGTCGGGTGGGAATTCATATCCAACGTTTATGCGTCGTGTTCACGTGTATGCGCTGGAATACCGGCACTCCAACACAGATCAGTGTGCCTATGGCGCTGATTACATCGTAGCTGCAAGTTTCTGCATTCTAAAGCATCGTATGCGAGAATCAAATCCATAATAGACTGTACAGCAGCCAACCCAGACTAATTTATGACAGTGGCTTGGCTGTGCCAATTTCTTGCCTAAGTTGGATGCGAAAATACACCAAAATAGTATGGCCATAACAATCGCTTATTAAACGCCAAATTGTGTTTGTCCGCGGCAAAAGTGACAGCTTTTAAGGACCTTAGAAGTCTTCTGATTATGGCCCTGTCGAGTTCGAATCAACCACTCCAAGTCGCATGTGACAATTAGGCCTTTGCTACAGGAGGTGCGTTATCTGAAGCAAATGTCAACTACCAATCTTCATACGTGATAATGAGCACATTATCACGTATGAAGATTGGTAGATTGAAGCGAAAGAAGGAAGTAGACAGTAGATGACGAGGAGCTTTCTGCAATGAAAATGTCCAGGTCGAGAAAAGGGTACGCCTACTTGATGCTTGGGTCCTGATTGGATATGATTATCACGGGCCGTTCCCAGATAGATTGTCTAGCTGAATGCGCTAATCGCGTGATGGGGGGTGTCTTCCAAAACATTTGTGTAGGGCAACCGCGATGCTGAAATGATACGTTTCCACTCAATGAGCTTGCGTCAAACAACAGAAACGCCTTTTTAGTATACTCGTTCCTGATACCGCCGCAAAGTGGCAACATTCTAAATGGAGTAGTAGTTGTAGATAAGGATCGACTCGCTTCCCGGCGACACTTTATTGCGAGATTGCGAATTTTCGGTCCTCGAAAGCTACATGCAGATATTAGAGGCAGACAAAACACATCTGAATACGTAGCGGGTATAAAGGTTCAGCTGAATGCAGCTATTCTACCTACTACGCAGTTTTTGCAGTCTACAAGATAAAGTTGTACCTCTACTAAATTGAGCCCTTTTCCTGGGTCGTAGCTAGAACAATATTGAGTTCGACTCAAACGCTAATTGAAGAAAATTCATTCCTTCTTTTAAGTACGATTTCTAGAGTCGTGCAACGTCCCCTTGCGCTTTTTCAAGACGAATCAACCTATCAACCGACTTTAGCTCAGCTACAATCTACCCTAGGAGGCTATTCAATTTGTGCCGCTTGAGTTGCCTCAGATCAATCCATCAAATTGCCAGGACCCGCGAGTGCATCCAAAAAGAGAGTCGATGTATCGACACAGCATATTCGTCTCAAGTACAACGCTAACAGGATACCTTGACTACGCGGAAATATTTAGTTCTTGTCCCTCCCGGATGAATAATCGTAAAGTAACGCAGTCTCTTTTAGATAGGTGTTCATGCAACCGATTATATTACTGGTCGACTAAGTGGACATTGTATCCCTGGCATAAGGTGCCTGTGTGCTTTTGAATCGAGGTATTGCTAAAAAGCAGGTCATCTTTGTTCTTGTTGCGGGCAAAAAAATGGATATATATGACTGCAGGAAAAAGTAAAGGCTCTATTAAGTGCACTTTGCTCGAACGTCACAATGCGTCCTGGTCGTAATGTGGCTGACAGAACTGCAGAAGCAGCTGCATTCGTGAGTCTTTTAAAAACAGTCAGTTCGTAGAAAAAAGTATACAAACGACAAAAAGTTTTACTATCAAATATTTCTGTAGGATGACCTACACCGTGCGTTAAGCAATACGTACCCACCATCTCACTTCGAGAAAGCGTGCAAGTTGAAACAAGTTTATATTGGTTGTTGGCGGAGACTTTGAAAGTCTACCCGAGTAGGATTTTCAAATTGTGATATAACGCATTCCATTTGGAAAATACTCTCAGCACCTACTTCGTGGCACGATCGATTGGAACATTATAGTTTCATGTGTTCCCACATTCGAAAGGCTGAGCTTATATGTTGTAGACTTGATCATCGGACAATGAAACTGCCAAGTAGTGCCGGCTACGGTCGGCAAAATGCTGCAGGATCGAGTCAGCTTGAATAAATTTCAAGACGTAGTATTCAGATGAAACTCAAAAAAATTGACAATGAGAGTTTTTGATGAGTAAAGCTGGTTTAAAGCTTATTGTAGACATTCTGACACCGTAGTTTAATTTTGTTCCGCCCTTGAATATAAGGATGGGTACAAGAAGTGCTATGTGAAATGGATAGAGTGATGCGCTGTGGATCTCATGACCAGTAAAAGCCAAGCTGAAGTAGTTGTGGGGACATTTGCGTAGTCTTTGACGATCGAATAAACTCACACTCGCTTTTGCAGTAAATATGATGGGACTGAGAAATATTCAACTCGCTTGTAACGACGAAATCTTCAACCTTGCAGAGGTTCTCAAGATGATCAGGGTAATATGAAAGCAATTGATAGGAGCAGTGCATTACAAAGGTACCAGACTATGTCGATAAGCTGCATCGCTCTCTTGATAAAGAAGCTTTGAGGTACCATATCTCAGTTAAGTTGTCAGACGGCGACTCATTCTGCGAAACTCTAGTAAAGCACTATTCGTGGCCGACATATCTGCATCGAGAACGTTTTTGATAATCACAATACACAATTCATCTCGATCAAACGTCCACCGATAATGGACTAGTCGTTCTCGCCAAACTTGAATACTCGACGACTTTGGGTCCCATATCAGTCGTTTTTTAATTAGTGTAAGAACAAACACTCGACACCCACAGGTTAAGGTTTCTTGACAAATTATTTTTTTTACAGCGAACGCTGCTAATCTGTGTTGGCGATTATCCGATCATCACAGTAGATTTTTGACGCAACTAGATGCAAAGAACTTAGCGAGACTTGAGTGAGAACGCCGCGGGTTCGTTTTGCGCTTGTCAAACCATAATCTTGACTCTGTCGAACCAGACTGGAGCAAGCAGTACAATTTCTATTTTACCCGTGTCGTTGAGAAACTCCAGACGACCCGCCCAACACTGCGACTTGAAACTACGACTATTGGAAGTTTGAGCTGTACACGTATAACACTTAGTGTGATGCCGAGCCGAGTTTGTGGATCGACTGGTATGATAATCACGACGTTTTTCTCAATCGGCTATCCAGAATATGATACGTACAGTGGTACGTACGGCAAATTTACGACTACTACCATAAAAACGATGGTGCAGCGATGGATTTGACGGCAGCAATGACGATGGATATGATGATGAGAATATTGACAGATTAGAACGCAGAGTAAAATCTAAATTTGATTGTTCGGTGATCTATCTGTCTGCAATTTTTGCATTCCAACGAGTACGTTTCTAGTTATTCTCAATCAATTAATTTTTCTGTCGTCCTTGTGCTCGTTCCTTTGCAATATTGTCGAGAAAAGGCGTTGTGCGTAGGTGATAACGCTAATTGCCGACTTTGCGGAACACTTTGATAAATCACAATCAATGACACGTTGGTTACTCAAAATTATCAGTTTTGGCAGCAATCTCAAGGGCAATCTTTGCAGTTCGATAGTTCTATCGTAAATGTAGGAATTTTATCTTACAATCACGAGGAAGAGTAATATTACAATTATCCGAGAACTCAGTTTTAGCGATATTTCTAACATCATGCTTTTGCTGGATGGCTTTCTCTTGTTGAGCATTTCGACTTGATAACAAACAGCCTTGTTATTCAGTCGAGTCTATGCATTCCCAACTCGTCGCACGACAATCGATCAAAACTGCTGATTAATTTTCGTTCTGCATGATATCTTTTGAACTGACACTGAGCCAAGGTTCGGGTGTGGTAGTGTTTGAAGTGACTTCTACCATAGATGGCACGATACTGAGCGATCCAAGCGACACAAGTGCAGCATTAATCACCACCGACATCTCTCCGAGATTCTTTGCCTTTATAGCCTCAAAAAGCAGATAGTTTTGATACGGATCCGTAGGTGCTTTGTAGACTTTTCCAGGAGGACAGTGTTCAGCAAATGAAACAAGGTCCCATGTTAAGTTCTTGCTATTCCAGCACGCTCGAGACTCTTTTTTAGCGGTCAAACTAGCCACCCATCGGCCATTACCATTTATAAACACATTTGCTCCATGCTCTGTTGTACTAGGCTCGTTCTCTGCCCATGACCAAACATGCGCTTCCATCTTGGCAACGTCCACATTATCAAGTGAAATGAGATTTATGTCCCATCTTAAGTATTTTGGAATGCTATCAGCATCCAAAAATACTGGAAAATTTCTCGTGAGAATTCCCGAGGCAGCCATCGAAATATACCGGAGCTGATCCGACCACGTTCGAATCCAGTTGTGTTTGCTGTAAATATCCATGCCATTAATTTGACGCTTTGCGTCGGGCATGGTATCAATAAAATCAACCGTCAGATCTTTGGCGGCACCACAGAGCTCATACATGTTATAGGCGACCCCTGTTCTCGTGTTCGTAAGTGCCAGTACTCGGTGCCCAGCCTTACGAAAGTGATCCATACTCTTACCTTCCCACTGATTGGTGGCCAAAGCATCGAGCTCTGTGAGTGGAACGATCAATTCGCCAAAAACTTCAGTAAGTATGGAATCAATGGCTCCGAATTTGTCCGATCGCTTTATGTCTGCGCCAGTGTCCAAATACACAATAACAAACTCGCTCGGATTCGCATCTAGCCACTCTCGGATCTCTTTGAGAGTATTAAAAGTCGACGGCTGTTCGGAAGCCCTGATTCCAGAAATTGACGGGAAACATCCCAGCAGCTCCGGGCCCCAATTATACGTGCCATAGTTGCCGATCGTTTTACTTAGCGTGCGAAAGATCCCTGCGACAGTTTCCGAGCCAAGAGATCCACAGTGTGCTGTTCGAAGTTGATTTAGAAAATAGTGAGTGTCAATTTCAAGAAATCGAATACCAACATTAAGCTGATCCGTCAAGCTTAACATCTGATTGTTTGTCTTAAGGTATGACCACCACTTGTCTGGGCTTAAGTTTCGATTAAAGAGCTGATCTCGATTCCCGAATCCATTAGCAAGAGTAATTGCACTATTGTGTGAAGCAGGTAGGTGGGTTAGGCAAAACGAACCACGAATTGCTAAGTTGCGTTGATACGCAAGAGTTGATTGTAGCCAGTCTGGCACGACTACCGAGCCTTTCTCGCACACTTGGCTGCACACGGTCTTAGCTGCATTGCATTTATCCACCATCTTGCAATTTGTATTGATTAGATCATTCTTGCCCGGATTTTTTGATCCAGGATCGCGATGTTTAGTCACATCGTTAGACATTCCTTTTGGATTCTTGCATCTATCTTCAAACTGACACGAAAACGTTCCGGCAATGGTGTTGACAAATTTGCCTTCCGGAAACTTAAGCGATACCATGCCACCGACAATATCCCACGTATTGCTACCAGTAATGTACTTGATAGCATCTTGAATGGTCTGAATAAATGGACGCATCTGATGAACGCAGCATCCATGGTTCATGATCGTCGTTTCTGCATTCGATGCCGTGTCTGTAAAAGGTTTCCCCGATAATCCTGAGCACTCTTGTCCTTTTCCAATAGTTATAAATGGGAACACGACGTGTTGGAAAAAGTCAAAGTTTTCTATTGTGTACTTCTGTGTCAACTGCCAAAACATCTCGAGTCCACAAGACGATTTTCCTCGCTTTGAACACAAGAAGCTATTAAAGCCATTAATGAGCTCATTCACGATAAAATAATCAATGTTCTTGTCGGCCGGAACAATTATGTTGAAGAGCTCAAGGACGTCACTAATTTGAGCACAACAAGCGCTATCCTTGATAAGCTCTGGAATAAGTCTTGGTAACACTTTTTCACCACAAGGTCCAAGCGCTCCACTGAAAGCGTCACACAGGTTGTCTACTCTATCGTCATTTTGATTTGCCATATACTTGTAAATAAGCGGAGAAATCTCATCCGGTTTGGCTGCGATGGAATTGAAAAGATTGAAAAGTCCTTTGAGATCGTTGTTCTTGACCAAATCGTAGATATCTAACACGCTGCAACTGCTAAAAAGAGTACTGGCCACTGCCTTTGCGATTGTTCCCAAATTATTCGCAACGCAAGTATTGAGGCCGAATGCAGTGGGCAATTTGTCCACAAGAAATCCAAATATCTTGTCGTTTGCTTTGCACTCCTGAGCCTGAACTTTGCCGAGATTCACTGTAGATGTGAGGCTTAGCACGCCAAAAAAGACGACGACGGCAAATTTATAGAAAATCATCTTGTCTCGCGTCGGAACAGCACGTTGCAATGTGTCAAAGAGCTCCCATTCGACATCATCTGTTTGCAACAGGGTACGTGTTTAAATACCGCAAACAACACATCTACTTGATGAAGTTACCTAACGGGAGCAGTTGTCGTGCTGTTATTTGGTTATGGTGATTCGTAGAGGTTGTGCGTTCATCTGTCGTGAAATTGTAATGGAAGCTTTTACAGGAAGTAAAGTTCGTAGTGATCGCATTTATTTGATACAAAGCGCAAGTGTAGAATCAAAGTCATAGATCTGTATCTGACGTTTATTATATCGATCCTTTATCACTGAACAGAAAAGCAGACGCACATATTGCTTGCTACCTAGAAGCTGGTGTGATGTGCTGGTTTTATTATAAACTCGTTTATTTGTCCTCTGTTATTTCTCAGCTCCTGAAATTCTAGAGAGTAGTCCAGATGTTGTTTATGGTATAATCTGACATTTATATGTGATTACATGCTGAGATCATAATAATCTCTCTTGCATGTCTGATGCTTCGTTTTGACCAAGCCACACCGCTTCGCCTAAATAAAGATTGAACAGCTGCCTTGTAGTTGATCCGCAAGCTCAGTTTCTTCGGATAGTCAACCAATGGACGGTCAAATGCTATCTGACGAGCCAGTATTGGAACGCTCTAACATTTTTACTAAAGCTTCAGCCTGATAAGTTTAACGATGCGTTGTTCAGCTTTGTTGACTTATGAAATTAACAATGTTAATTTGATTATTTCGCAACAAAGAGCAATTTAGTTCTTACGATTTGTTGACAGCTGGTAGAAATTGACAATAAAAAAAATAATTCATGTAAGTTGTCGTGAGTGATGGGAAATTGAAATGAGCTAAGAAAATAAAGCTGCACTTCGATAGTGAGTAATAGAAAATGTGTGGCGAACAATTAGAGTCGATCTGCGGTATTTACATCCTCTAGCAATGCTTTGTCAAATATAATATGATGTGTGTGATGAGAAAGATTACACAAACTCTAGTGTATTTATAGTCCCAATAATCGAAATAGCTATCAAAGGAGAGTGAGGATGTATCAGCATTTACTATGTGCCAATCTTTAGTCAAATAAAACATGTTTTGAAACGTTTACATTCCTTTCAAGTACTATGGTAAGCACACAAGATTAGAGTGATGATATTTTAATCGAAAAGGGACAAAGACGAGAAAAATCACTACGAAAGCGTGTTATAATAAATAACAGCGCGTCGCAGCAGCGATCTCCAAACTAAAAGGCTGAGCGTGAGTGCTAGCGTGCAATCCCCCAAAACAAACCCAAAAAGTAGATATCGCGAGTTCTGTTTTACCACGTGCAATGAAATCTCTTATTGTCCTGTCAAGGCTATAGAAAATTCCGGACTTTGTCCAAGGAATAAAATCTTATGACCAGACTTTTTAGGGAAGCGATAAAAGTAATGTCAAAGTTATCCGGAAAGGTGCGGCTAGCACCAAGATTTTCTGCGTACACCCAACCTAATCAGGAAGCGGTGAATGTCACATTACATGTGGGACAAAAATCCGATCCACAAGAGCTGGTTGGAAATCAGGAGGTGAAGGCTTTAGAGACGCCCACAGGCAATGGGTGTCATCTTAAGTGGGTATAAAGGGATCTCATTGCTGCTGAACAACGCGATTGTAGTCGCAGGTGTTAGTTCGGTCGGTACCCAATGATTTATCCCTGTATGTCATTTTTTATTGGGAGGTACAAAGAGTCGAGGTGTCATGCGCAGCCGTTTGACAGTCCCGTGAAGTGGAAATTTCAAGCCACAATCAGCCTAAGGCGGTCTAATAAGCTCTATTGCACCTCACGGGGGTCGATGACAATAGGGTAATAAAGAGAGCGAAGCATTTTGACAGAGACGGAATTTGAGCCCAGTTTTATTGGTCGCTATAATCAACGTAATGGTCAGTGTTTAGCTCGAAAATCCAGTGATCGATTGTAGGTTGTCCTTTCGCTATGTGTGAAGTGCTACTGTTTATAACAATAAGCAATCTGCGTGGCACTAGGTATACCGAGCAGTCTATGTATACCACGATCATTTCCTGAGGAAGTTCCATCATCTTCATAAATTCCGATGTGCCTCATTGATATTAACATTTATACAAAAGTGCAGTGTGATTTTTCTTCATACAATATTGTATTTTACACTTTGGCACACTTGTGTAAAATACAATATTGTATGAATTTTGTACGGCTTTTAAACCCAGTAGCTACTATATCCAAAACTCTTAATCCCGCCAAGTGTTTCACAAATACCGTCTCTTTATCAGTCCAGAGGCATTACTACACTGCATCTTGTGAGTGGCCAAACGTGAGATTCTTGCCGTAATTGTGGATATGGAACCGGCTGATAATATTAAGCACGATTTAAACTTGATAGAAATCGTACTTAATATTATCAGCTAGTGCCAGATCCAATTTATTATTTCAGTACAGGGCTAGCTTAAGCAATCCGATGGATTAATATACTATCCCATGAACATCCTTTAATAAAATCAGATCATCTCGTGATCATTAATCATGAGGTAGTTTAAACAACTCAATCGTGCATAAAGTGGTCCTATAACTATATGAGCTCTTCAAAGACTACGTGCACGGCGCTGCCAATTTCAGGGACTGTCGACATCGATCCGCGCGGTCAGGCGATCAAATGCTAGATTCAGACTTACCATCACGTTTCTAGTGAATTTTATGGCCTAAAGAGCTTATATACTTCAACGCTGACTTGTTACTCGCAGCACAGAATGGAAAGAAAATTAGGTATCAGAACTCTAACTAGCTCCCAGCCACTAACGCTTGCTCTTGAACACTACCGGTCCACCTACTAGCAGCAGCGATACCCCCAAACGCTAAGAGCCTCATGTGGTTGTCATCTTCCCGATTAAGGTCATAAATTTAACGATGACTTGTTACTAGCAGCGCAGAATGGAAAGTAAATTAGCTACCAAAATCCTAACCAGCTCCGAAAAATCGGCTTATATATTGTTTGCTGAAAAGGACAAAAATTCCGGGTTTTTATAAGCGCACTGTGATCAATATGTATTGTGTGGTCATACAGGAGGCAGCTAAAGGCCCGCATAACCTTTCAAAAGAAATGGTTGTCGATGGACGTATACTGCCGCGGACGGTGGTGATCTCGAGTTGCGCGCGAAAGGTGGGACAAAACGCTTGATCTGGAACACCTTGCCAGCCAGATCTACGTGAAGATCTCATTTTAACTAGCAAGCTGTCTTTGTGTAATGTACACAGCTCCGCAACGTGGCGCCACAATACCCCAGCATATTTGTGGGACCACTTTATACAGGATTGAGTCATTTATGGATTGCTTTAACTATCTCATAAATATTTTTCTTGATAGTGTAATGATACATTGTAAAAAACGTTGGAGATAAGACTTCAAACAAGAGACTATGATTTTGTTGCTCATCCTGCTATTCAAATATTCCTGAGTGAGCTTTCATATGTTCAGACCCCCAATGTGCTTCGCTACTATTCTAAAGTTTGGACTTTAATGAAGGATTTGAGCTATTCGGTGACTTTATATGCCTCGTGATGAAATATATGGCTACCGAGAATACGAAAGAAGTCAGGAATAGCTAACTAATGCTATTCTCAGCAAAAATATTTAATTTTTTTGTGTTCTATCACTTTCAAAGCTGTTGTACTTAAAGTACTAAATAACTAACAGATGTACTCTAATAGAATTTCAGAGGCAAAAGATATGCGTCAATGAGTAAACATTAGTTAAATATAAACGCATAACTTTACTTCTGTATAAGTGGGGTACTTGACATAAGCAGTGCTCGTAATTGCTTTATTCAAGCCACTTGATCAAATGAATCAGATCGTCAAAACGAGAGTGTTATGCTTATGCTTCATTCCACTATGTTTGTTTATGAGTCGAGCAAATGCTCACAAGTTGTTTAGAGTTTCGTATGATTTCGTGACCTAACTGGGTAAATATTAAGATTATAATTCATAGCTTACAGTATTATCGTTGAACCATGTGTAGCTTAGTAGTCTAATCTAAACTGTGTTAAGCAACGCTATAACAAACATACAATCTACTTTTGGTTATTATAGTGTGTCGCCGGCACCATTATTCTATTATTCCGGAGATTTGATAAAATGCAATATAATGTGGACTAATAGACTGACATACACAACCTGCTTTTGTCAGTATAACGGACCGAGAAGTGAGGCACTTAAAATTCAAAAGCAGCAATTGATTTGGGCAAAGCATAGAAAAAATAATAACTAAAAACTTAGTTTGGCAGTAATCCTCGCTTCTAATTTTTTTCATTCTAAAGACCTCAACGTTGGCGCGAAATTATAATGACGATTGCACCTAATTCGAGCATATTTGAGACAGCTTTATGTCGTTAGTAGATAATGTACGTGCTAAGTATGGCTGACAGTGACGTTCACATGATCGGTACCAAGAAGTGAGAACCAATATGTGCATGATTGTTAGATTACACCACTAAATGCGTGTGGATGACGTCACAAGGACTACGGTGGCAGTCGCACTTACTATCATGGTCATGGATATTGATTGCAGACATAATGGTAGTCGTTTGTTGGTCTAGATAAGGCAAACTGCATCCAGCAGGCTTAATGGTAGCATAGAGTAGCAAACTGAGGACCTTATATAATGTATTCACTCCGGGTTTTGCCATCTTCTCAACAGGCTAAAAGCCGCAATTAAGTCTAGCTTCACGACACCTTTAGCGCCATGACTACCAAACGCACCAAAGTTCTCATGGGGAACGGTAAGTACTATCATTGGGAGCTTAACATGAGAATGGCCCTGCGAGAATAAGGCTGTTGGGGCAAGTCATGGACGCAAAGGATGAGAACGAGATACCGGAGAGTTGGATCATGAATGGCGTCAAGGCGTTGGGCAGCATTGTTCAGGGCGTCAAAAATCACCACCCATCCGAGGGCCGGTCTACTACACGCGCCTTGAAGGCGTGAAGGCGCTTCGCGATTTCTTCAATCGCTCCACTCTGCCCAACCGTGTCACGATGACTTGTCGTCTCCATGGGTTCAAGATGGACAGTGGCGCTCGCATGGCGGAACATCTAAACGTGCTTGACGAAGTGGTTGTGGGACTACAGACGCCGGGAGAGCCAGTAGACGATTTGAAGGCTGGGCAGCTTGCCGTAAGAGTAAAAGCTGGTTTATTTTATCGCGGAAATTTTAAGGATATCACGCCGAACGAAGTCAAGAAGAAGCTGTTGAAGGATTCGGAAAAGTTACAGAAGAAGGAAGCCACTGAGACAGCGTTTCTCACTACTGAAAAGACTGGCGGCTAAAGGGTACACAAGGAAGCGGTCACAAGAGCTACGCGCCGCGAAGGGGAGCGATTGCACAGTACAGTGTTTAGACTGCGACCAGATGGGTCACATGAAATGGGACTGCCCGGCTGGGATTCATTCTAGCGGGGGTGATGCAGTATTTGCTGTGGATGAGGAACGATCAATCGTGACAGCGGCGCGACTTCGCACATGACCCCTGATTAGAGTAATTTGGTCGATCACAAGCCAGCATTGAAGATAAGATTATGAACGGCAGAGAACTAAGCGTTGAAAGTGAAGCTAATCAGTTTTGATGGAAGGCGCATATCCAGGATTGTGGTCCTGCTTATCCCGGGCTTGACAGACGTTTACTGGTAGTAAGAAAACCTGGCGAACGTGGATGAAGTAGGAAAATTAGCGTGGTTCGTGTACCATCTGATAAAAAATGTGCTATTTCAACTGATACAAGGAGCGAAAAGGCTTCACGCTGCACTATCAGTAAGAGGGGGCACGATCGGTGCGATACTCGGGAATTGAGTGCCAGTGGAAGCTATTGTGCATTTGCATGGGTCATACAGATGATGATATTTTGATGAAGATGTCAAATGGTATAACTGCGCAAAAACAAGGTATGAAGATCTTGAGGTGGATGCGTGAAGTGCAAACAGACAATTGAAGCATTCCCGAGACGCAACGTATCAAAGACGTCACGCGTATTGAAGCTAGTGCACACAAACGTGATAGTGCCCATGGAAACACTTTCGAAGGGAGTGGCCAAACATCTAAAATGCTTGTGGATGATTACTCACGATATGTGGTGACAGATTTTCTGGCGAAGAAGAGTGAAATATTCAAAAAATTACGATGTACAAAGCGCTGTACGAGCCTCAATGGGGAGCCCGCATCCAGTGTCTGCGCTTGGATAACGGGACGCAATTCGTTAAAAAGACGTCACGGATTTATGCTAGCGGAACTGCTTCTTGCACTAACGTACCGTACCATACAGCCTCCAACAGGATCGATTGGCAGAGCGAATCAACCACACAATAATAAAAAAGACATAGAGCATGCTGCACCAGTAATGTGTGAAAACCTGTTGGTGGGCATAGGCGATCAGCGCTGATGCGTACCTGACCAATTGCCCACCTAACAAAGTGCATCCGAACACTAGTCTAAATTGGGGTCTAAGGTGAAGCCTCGGATGGATCACCTTCTGGTATTCGGATCTTACGGATTCGCACACGTCGATCATGTGAAGAAGATGAAGATCGAGGTTAAGAACTCCAAGTGTGTGTTTCTTGGGTTTGCCAAAAATACCGAAGATTATCATACTTACGATAACAGCAAGGTTTCGGTATCACGGTCGGTTAAGTTGGACGAGCGTGAGGTGGGCGACACTTACAAATCGCACCTTCTAAAAGAAGAAACAGTTATACACGTGACCAAGATGGAGCAAGCCTCGGGCCGACAATACGCAAGCAAGAATGGGATAAGCCTATGAAATGTGACGAAAAAAGAAAGAACGTTCCAGACGATCTGATGTATGAGGAGGGGCCTCACATGAATAATCGCAGGGTCAGGATGCTCCAATTACCGCCCTCTGTGCTTCCAAGCTGACAGGGTACAGTGCATCAACAAAAGAGGTACATGAAGATCTTTAGG